AAGACTAGAGAAGTTTTAATCAAGTGAAGAAAATTTCAAGGCAAGAGGATTTGTGTCAAGATTACAAGGCATAATGTGATTATAGGAATGAATGTTAATTACTAAAATATCGAAGCTTGATGTATTTATTTATTTTTACTTATTTGTCGAGATCAGAACTATGGTAAGACCCCTCCATTTATGTAGTTGAATATCACTTCCATTAACTTGTCTTCCAAATATTTTAATTTTTTATGGTCAAAAGTTGAATGTTGATTACTATAACTTTGTTTCTATTTGCATTATCAAGAAAAAACAGAAAAAAGATTGTCTTAGCATTTTTCTATTTTTCGTTGGTTGCGTTATGCTAAACTTGCTCCTATATATGATACTTTTTCTTTGTATTTGTAATTTTGTTTTAAGAATATATTTGATTGAAGGGCGTATTTTTTGCTTTAGAAAATGAGACAAATAGAATCATAAAAATAGCGTATAAGACATGCAGAACAATTAATGCTTACAAGATATTCTAATTTCAAATATTAATAATTTATTTTTGCATTTTAAATTTTAAATATTTGTAAAGAATCATTCTTACATGTGCTTGTGGATAAAATCTATAGTTTTTCGACAATTTTCATTAAAATTATCATGAGATCCAAATTCCAAAGTCGAAAAAATGATACACCAAAATGCTTAAGAAGTTAGCAGATCTTTTATCCTTTGACCATATATTGCTCCTATTATTTTTTTAACAAAAAAATGTAAAATATATTTCAACAAACTTTTAATTGTAAGAATACTAATATTATCATTTTGACTCTCCATTAAATTAAAATCTGGTTTATTTAATTAATATTAATATTTTATTTGTATAATTACATAATTTAAATATCAATCATTGCACTTTAAATCTTAGTTATTTTCTTCTAATAAGTTTTTTACTTATAAATTTTAATTACTTAATTGCATTCTACTTAATGAGAAGGAGAATTTCATCTTTTATGAATTAATGTCAAACATTTTATCTTATTGAAATGTATAAATATTAATTTAATTTCAACATTTTTATGAGACAAAAAAGACATTTTAAGAAAGTTAATCATAAGATAGTGTGCCTCCATTTTTGTTTTTGCTATTTTATTTTATCTTTTAAAACAAATATATAATTTATATATCAAAATTATAATAAAGGGAGGACTAAATGTCAAGTTAATTGTACATTACAAACATTTTTTTAAAAGTTAAATTGTTTATCGTTTTATTCATCGTTATGAAGTAACGTGCAACGCACGTGTCCATATACTAGTATTATTATAAGCATGAAGCTCAAAACTTAAAAATTGAATTACCATTTTGTCCCTCTAATAAATTAAAACTTATATAATTTTTATATATATAATCTTCTTATTCTCATTTCATAATCTTGACCTTTCAAATTTCTAACATAAATGTAAACAAAAACAAAAATGAGTAATTATCAAGAAATTAAAGTAGATTCATGTATCTTTAAAATTAAATTTCATCTCTATCTTTTTTATATTTATTTTAACAATAATTCAGGTGACTTTTCATGTTTTCATAATTTTGTTCTATAAATTTAAATTTTTCAAGAAGAACTTTTATTTACCACTCCTACAATTCTTGTATGTAGGAACTCTAAACATGTGAAATAATGTCACAATTTGAGGTGAAAGTTGTGAGATTTCCTTATGCAGTTACGAGAAAGATAAGAATTCAATTACTGAAGCATCAGGGCTTGATATGTTAGTTGTATGCTTATTTGTAGTAAGAATTATAATAAGACTTTTTTGTCTCTCTTCATATAGTTGAATTCTTGTTTTATTAGGAAGTTGCTCTAAATTCATATTTTTATTTTGTATGCTCAAATGTTCAGTTTCACTATAGAGACAAACACAATGAAATGCCTAATTATCTTGCTCATGTGTACTTTTTTTTTCTCCGTACTTATAATATTTTACATATACATTAATTTTTATCTTTAAGAATGAATGTGATAAAATAAGATATTTACTCTTTTCTTTTCTTTTTATATATAAAAAAAAAGGTGAAACATATAATATTAGATTAATGGTGGATAAGTTATGTATGACAGAATTAAATTTTATATAAAAATAGTAGTTATTCATAAATATCCTGATTTTTAAAATATAAATGATAAAACTTTTTACATCTTAGTTTTAAATATTTATAGTTAACTAATTAGTTTAAAGTGTTGTGAATAAAAAATTAATACAATACTTAAAACACATTCATTAAAAAAAGTTGAAAGGTTTTGTTTTCCTTCACTCAACATTAATCTTACACTATCTAGAATTATTCTACCAATAAAACGGAACTATCAAGAAATTTAATTTAGA